TCTCTCTCTCTCTCCCCCCCCCCGCATCATGTCAAACATCATTAGTGTGATTTGAGGGAGTGAAGGATTCTAGAGTAGAAGCTCACAGATTTGGGAAAATAGCCTTAAAAAGAAACTGGGTATCATTTTGTTATGGAGCCTGGTCTGAGATAAATAAGCTTGTTAACACTCCTAAGATTAAACCTTTTTCAGTTAGTTCAAAATGAATTTAATCTTTTAATAGCGAGGCAAGATAAACAAAATGTTACTTATGTACTTTCCAATTAAAAGCTCATATAAATTATCCTTCTCAGAAAAAAAAAAACTTGTCTATAGAGAAATACGTATATCTCCATGTAGCATTTGTTAAGGTACATCTGCATGCATTCTGATTAGATTCTAACCTTACATAGAGAATTGGAAGATCTTTCTTTTTACTTCTTGCCTTGAAACTATAAAGTGTGTTCTCTGTAGGTAGTAATGTTTATTGATGCTCATTAATGGTTCTCCTGGTAATAAGGTCTATTGTACTATCCAGAATGTCAGTTCGAAGCCCTGTGATAAGCTTATCTGAGCTGCCTAAACTGAAACGGGAACTGTAACAAAGACTGGTCTTGGAGCTGAATTAGCACTGTGGCTCGGTTTGCCAAATTTATCTAATGAAAGATGTTATCTTCACACTGGTAGGAATTAGAGGTGACACTGCAGGGATAGTTGCTTTCTATCAGACCCTTGCAGAAGAAATTGGGCAGGTGTTCCCACTGCTTTAGAATTTTAAGTGAAACAAGTATTTTTCTCTCTTTGGTTTCTATTTAAATGCTTTCAAAGGTTTATTATTTCAAGGTTCAGTGACCTTGGAAAAACAGGTAGGAGCTTTAACTAGAAATCAATTTTCTTGTCCATGGCATTCCAACTAAATTGCCAGTCTTTTTTCTTAAGCAACATATTTTTATGTTTCTGATATTGCATCCCAGGATTTCTCCTCTGAATTGCCCTTCCTGGAGACATAGTATAGCAGTTATTATTTCCACTTAACATCTCAAGGCATCCAGGCAGTTCGCATACCATAGTAACCTTGGAAAGATAAGGAGCCCCCTGAAAGGTGCCCTGATTGCTGTCATGGCAGCACTCTGCTGAAGTGTCAGTGTACTCTGAGACCGTGCCACCAAACCTCTGGAGAGTCTGTTCTCAACCACTGCGTGTGTCTCACATGCACATAGCTATACATGCATGTGCAACCATGCACATAAACAGCTCTAGAGAGAAGAGAATGTAATTCACATGTGTGTGCGTGTGCACATGTGCATGTACTCCTTTCTACTGCAAGTCATTCTGTCTGCTGCCTAGAGAAAGCCTGGCATGGTAACTTTGCAGTCAGTTCTCTACTTTGTGAAAAATAAGAATAAACCAATATTCAGCCTAATGGCTCATGGTTCAGATTCATGTTCTTCCTTGTATGGGACAAGATATAGACTCCCTTCATCTAATGTCTGTTGGAAGTCCTGCTCTTAGAAAAGGAATGGTACTATCTTCCTCTTGTTCTAGTATCATGAGAGGCAGCTCTGTAACTGCAGGGTCCTTCAGAAGATCACCAACTGTGTGTGACTCGCTAGCACTATTTCAACTCTTTTAAGAGACTGGATTTGTTACTTTCTGCACTCTTTATTTTTGGACAGTGGCTGGTATTCACTGATTTCTTTCCCAAGGAAGGCAAAGTGATAGGCTTTCATGTAGCATGGGAGTGAAGGGAGAGGCATCAGCAAAGGTGCAAAGGGAGCCACCACTATGGGCACGTGCATTGTGATGCCAAGATGCAGTCTGCGTGGGTAGGCAGATGGGCAATGGGTATGTTTTGGTATCTTCCTATTAAAATCTAAAAATGGTGTTTTTAAAACTACCTTTTTAGATAACTGAGAGTAAGCTGAGGGTTTGGTAGACTTGCTCGTGGTACTCTCTGCTGCAGCATCTCAGAGCTGTATTAAAAATATCAGTTTTCTGGTGCCAGTGTTTCCATTATTTGTAACAATTTTGAAAAGAAAAAGCACATTTTAAGGATTTAATTACAATTACTTGCTGGTTGCACAGGAATGTGTAAATAAGTGCATTTATACTTTGTAGCAATTTTCCTAAGTTTCAAAAACTAAAAATAATACATGGAGGCAGAAAAATGGTAGAATGGAATTTAAATCCAAGTCCATTTAACAAAATTCATGTTTTTCAGCCTTTTCTTTTTACTTTTTGTTAGAGTGGTCATGTTAGCAACATTGAAAAATAAACTTTTCTTCTTCAGCTGTATGGTCTGTTTATTTTTATTTAAAATATAACCGTACACAGAATCATACCTTTTAATTCCTCATTAGTGCCTTTTATGCCCCAAATCATTACTTAGATAATTTTGCAGTTTGATATTTACTGAACATCTGTTGCTGCAATAAGCCATATAAATTCTAGAAATAGAGTTTTCTATTTGGAGAATTCTTTGATGTGATAAAAAAGAAACAAAGCCTCTTGAACAAAAACTGTTCATTTTATAGTTAGCTCAGAGGTTTTAGAGAGAACTTCTACTTCTACCAATTCCTTTCCCTTAAACAGTGCAGTTACTTTAGAAAAGCTAAGTATGCATATGAGATTCTAATACATACCCTACAATATTTATGTAATTCCTCTCCAGTTTCAGGTGTGTGTCAGAAAGAGACTATTTAGATGTTTAAGTTCTCATCCAATTCCAGAGAACAACTTTAAATTCCAGGGGACAACTTTAAATCTCTGAAAACAGTAGGTAGTCATGTGCTAGTCTTCCAAAGGTCATTAACCCAATTTTAGGCTGAGTTACTAAATATTTGCCATGAAATCTTTAGAGAATACTACAGCTACCACGGTGACTAACCAGAAGAGAATAGTGGCATTAAATGACTTAATTTCAAATATTGCTGTTAGATATTGCTGTTCGTCTTCCCGCATGGCTTATCTAAGTTAATTATTAACCAAAAAAGGCTTAATTAGAAGAAAACGAGGAGCTGGAGACAAAATATGAAGGTAGCTTCAGAAAAATTTTTTTAAAATATGTTTTCAGAAGCTTTAGAGGCTTGTGATACCGTATTTTTCAATTATGTTTAGTTTTTCTTCCAGTCTTGTGGCTTGCCTTTACTTAATTC